CCCCAAAACCCCAAAACCCCAAAACCCCAAAACCCCAAAACCCCTATTCGAACGTTTTAAGTTGAAGAAATCAATTGCGAATAAAACGACTTTGACACAAAAAATCAGCCAAATTTCAATTAAGAACTCAGAATGCTTCAGAATATTTATGAATGTTTATGAATAATTTTCCCTAAGAGTACTCCTAATTCAGTTCCATCGGAATGAAACGACAATTTTACTGGTCTTTGATATAAGATAATATTAGATCCATCAATTTCCGAGATCTCTCATCAGACACCAGAGATGAAGTTTTCTGAAAATATTTGAAAAGTTTGCCGAATTCAGGGATGGCTCAGAATCTAAATAACTTCTGATAAGAGAATTTATAGAGTACTTCATCAACTAGTTGTCAGTTCTCCATCATTATCTTTTTATCAGATGAAGCATCCAGTGGTATCCTGCCATCTCTAAGATCTTCTTTGAAGGTCCGAGGACTGATCAGAGCACCGAAAAAAGAAAAATTAACCTCCCCAAACCCATCGATGCTAAAGTTTGGACATTTGGAGAATGATTCAAGAGCTTCTCTTGTTAAATCCTGATTGTTTTGATTTTCCAATTCTTCTGGAAAAATTTCAAACGCATCTGTGAACTTGTTTACGGAAGAGGACTCTAAAAATTGAAGCCTCGTGAAGTTGGTATACTCGTCTTGATAAAACTTTCTGAACTTTCTTAAGATGCTCTTCAAGAGTACGTCCTTCCTCTTCTTATACTGGTCTCTCCTCACAGTTATATTTTTTCTCCTCCTTCTTCTTGTTTTACTGCCATTTTTAATTAATTTTTTCTTTTTATAAATTTCGTCTTTGCCAGAAATTTTGCCTGGTACAGATCGTCCGATAGATTTCTCAACAAGTTTTGGAATAGAACCATTGTCCTTGTTTGTTATACCCTTATTGATTGAGGAGGCATCATCAGTAACTTTTCTGATGGTAAGTTCTTGTTTAAAGTTGACCTCCTTCTCTTTCATATTTTGGTCCTCATTAGATGCAGGTTGGTTGCACTCTTGAGTTGTAACAGACCAATCGATTTTGCTATCAAGACTCAAAAACCCAACATCTACTTCGTTGTTGGTGTTGTAAACGTCATCATCAAATTCTACTGGGTCTAGCTCTAGTATAATGTTCATTGAATAAATTAATTTTAAGAGTGCGAGCAGATAGGGGTTTTGGGGTTTTGGGGTTTTGGGGTTTTGGGGTTTTGGGG